GGGGGGGGGGGGGGGGTGGGGATGGTTTTGGTGTGGGGTGTTAGGATGTGGCAGGGTGTTGGGATGGGGATCTTTGAATGGGGGGGGGGCGTGAGGTTTTGGGATGGGGGAATGGGGATGGGTCTGGGGCGGGGGGTGTGCGGTGCTGCCGATCTAAGATTAAATGGACGTCGACGGCACAGTGAGAAAAACCAAGAAGGTATTTCGATTGATCTGTCGTTCGAACATGATCGCTACAAAATATATTCATTATTGATTATGAGGACTTATCACTTGTATGGCACTTGTGTCCATGCTATTTTTCACAACGAGACGCGCGAAAAACTTTACCCTAACACGGGTTCTTTGCGTTTGTTACGCGTTGATGAGGTCATTAAACCCATCATGGCAGCCAGCATAATAAAAGTGAAACAAATGTCAGTGCCACTAGTCGCTGCAAGCATGCAACATCCAACATGTCGACCGGAGGAGGTCTACCACATTGTACACAAAACGTGGTGCTCCACAAAATCAGCTTCAGTGGAATATAGAGAAGGCAAAAAAAAAACAACAACAACAATTAGGACGTATAATAGCAAGGTGCACTGCTCTACTGAGTTTATTCACAAATACACCACCCCGTGCTTATTGCCTTCATGGCATAAAAATGCTGTGTTTAGGTTTAGCTAATTGAGTATGGCTATAAGAATATTTAATAGTAAAATTAAACCAAAAAAAAAACAAACTAAGTTAGCTAAACGAGTACATCCGACGACCAAGTTTATTAAAAAAATAAAATAATGAAACTACTTTGATTGAGAGTACTATACGAATGATTCGTGAAGCAAACGTCTCTTTATTAAATAAAGAACTCCATTGCTAACACACCCGTACTAACTCATACGCCATCACTGCTGCTCCTGCTGGAACGTAACAGCATTAACAACATGCATTTTTTTTCATACCCAAATATACGTCACAAAATACAAATAATATAGCAAAAGCTACGAAAATAATCTCAGTACCAAATACGCTGAATAGAAAGCAGCCAGTTTGTTCGGGGGCTGTCGGAAATGGAAGGATTCTACCAGAAACGTAATATATATCTAGAAGAGAGAATACAAATGATGATCCTGTTGACTAAAAGGGGGAATATCAAAACGCTCAGTTTTACGTTGAACAAGGACACATCATTTCGACATTGTTTCCTATTTCTGGAAAGACCGGAAATACAGATTCAAATAAACATTATTGTTACTTAAAGAAATAATTTGAATTAAGTTTTTTTCGGTAAAGACTACTTTTATTGATTTCAAAAAAAAAAAAAAAAAAAGATTTTTTTTTTATTTCCTATTTCTGGAAAGACCGGAAATACAGATTCAAATAAACATTATTGTTACTTAAAAAAATAATTTGAATTAAGTTTTTTTCGGTAAAGACTACTTTTATTGATTTCAAAAAAAAAAAAAAAAAAAAGAATTTTTTTTTCAGTCATCGTACACATTATTAGTAGCCTTGAAAATCCTTATTTGTGTGTTTTTGTTGTTGCTTAAATTAGTCTGTAGCAATTGTAAATGTGAACAGAGTCTTGGATTTTTGTTCGAACGGAAATATCGTTTCCTTTTTTAAACAAAAAATATGGTATTAAAAAGCTTGCAACCTCGAATTTAGGAGAAATTTAAATTGAACGGATATAAAAACTTTCTAAGTGGACTCCTTTGCACTTCAGTCACAACTAATTCAGTCGTAGCGGAAGTAGTTTGGTCAGAAAGGAAGTAATTTGGTAAGAGGGGAAGTAATGTGGTAAGAGAGGAAGTAATCTGGTAAGAGTGGGATTAATTTGGTAAGAGGGGAAGTAATGTGGTAAGAGAGGAAGTAATGTGGTAAGAGAGGAAGTAATGTGGTAAGAGAGGGATTAATTTGGTAAGAGGGGAAGTAATGTGTTAAGAGAGGAAGTAATGTGGTAAGAGAGGAAGTAATGTGGTAAAAGAGGAAGTAATGTGATAAAACGGGAAGTAATGTCGTAAGAGAGGAAGTAATTTGGTGAGAGAGGAAGTAATGTGGTAAGAGGGGAAGTAATGTGGTAAGCGTGGAAGTAATTTGGTGAGAGAGGAAATGATGTGGTCAGGGAGGAAGTAATGCGATCAGAGTTAGTGTGGTCAGATATGAAGTAATGTTGTTAGAGAGGCAGTAATATGTTCAGAGCGGAAGGGATTTTGTCAAAGAGAACATAATATGGTCAGAGAGGAGATCATGACGTTATGAAAGGCCTCTCAGATAAAAAAATAGTTTCACATCGCCACGATCTCATGATGGCTTATTCGTTATCTGAATCTTAAAGCTACAGAAGGCCGTGAAAGTACAAACATTGATATATATTTTAATTTTTTTTTTTAAAATAAATTATAGTTTTTTTAAAAATAGATTCGGTTTTTTTTTAAATACCTGAAACGTTCGCAAATTTTCAATAATTAAACAAATGAATTTGTCTTCCTATTAATCAGTTTCCTCCGGTCACACTAAGATGCATTGCAGAATGGAATATTTGATCTCCCAAGTGTCTGATGCCATTTTGTCAAAATTTTAAAACAATCTCTGTCTCCCAGACTTGTACTTTATGTTTGTAAAAGGTTTCTAAAAATCTGTCTTTCTAGACCTTGTACTTCATGTTGATAAACTGTTCAGAGATTCTGTCTCTCTATCTGACTCGTAATGTTGCTTTGTGAATCCTTTAAGTTGATTGATTATAAAACCTTTACAATGTAACAGTTTATAACTGTTCTGAAATCTTAGACTAAAAGCACATGAAAAGGCGTCGATGACCATGTTTACTTCACAATACGTGATCCTCATGACCTAGATCTCAGCAATGCAGATGTCCACTTGGGAAATGCGCTCCTAACGCCTAATTTCCCTTGTATTAGCGGTACTTAGCGCCAATGGCGCAAATGCCTCTGTCAGGGGAATGCTCTGCGTGGTGTCCGGGTACGGGCAGTGAGGCCGTGCAATGGCACGTTCACACAAACAGAACCCCTAAAGACGTGTCTAGACATCCGGGTGGTTAACAGGCGGAGACGGAGATACCCAACTTTTGTCACAGAACGAGCCAGCACTGACACGAATGGTTTGAAATTCTCTTAGATGAGTTACCGTCCGAAGCTAAGGAGTTCGATCCATCCGGGGTGCTTACCTTGTTGTTGTTTTTTTTGGTTCGTCTTCGTTTTGGTGGGGATTGAACTCCATATCACCTGCGAGTTAGATTGACTCAGTTAAGACAGCTCGCCCACCCAGCAAATCCTCAGGGGGTCCTAACTTCTGAAAACCGATCTCCTCTTTTGGGCTACATACTAAACAGTGGACAACTCTTCGTCGGCGCAGATTGTTTTTCAGGTAAAACTAAAGTCGTCTAAGTCTTTTTCTCTCTCGTACATGAAATGTCAAAACTTGGTCAATGGATCTCCTCAAAATTTCATTTAAAGTTCTTTTAAATTATGCATTTTTTGTAAATGTGATTGTAGAAATGGGGAGATCATAAAAGTAGATTTTGATATGAAATTGATGTTTTAAAAAAAAGAAACATTTTATCACCCCATTTTTTGAAATAAAAACGATTTTTAACTTGGGAAACACGTATCAGTTCAGATGTTGAAATAATTTGATTTAAAAAAAAATATTTTTTTTCTTTTTTAAACTAGATTAAACATCCCATAAAAACAAAATTTTTCGTATGAATCTTTGCAAAACGTAAATCAAGTGTCACATAATCTCAGGACTGCTGTCACATCATTTCCACACAGATGTCACATCATCTCAAAACTAATATCGCATCATCTTAACACTACTGTCACATCATCTCGTAACAACTGTCACATCATCTCAACGCTCCTATCAAGTTATCATAAATCTATCGTCACATCATCTCCATTCCACTGACATTTCATCTCAGTTCAACTGTCCTATTACCGCAACGCTACTGTCACATCATCTCAACTCTACTGTCAAATCATTTCAACTCTACTGTCACTTCATCTCAAATCTACCAAAACATCCTCCTCGACAGAACTGTCACATCATCTCAACACTACCATCACATTACCTTAAAATATATTGTCCCATCATCCCGTGTAGTCCTGGAACTGTTTTCTTATTCTAAGACACTGTCACACGTCTTTGTTTAATCATTAATTTTTTTAAAATATGTAAGACCCAATTAAAAGAGATCACATTACTGTTGCTATGGGTTCACTTCTGAAAAATGAGAATACATTAAGTTTATGATATTTTTTTTTTTTTTTTTTTTTTTGTTGGCATCCGTCCGTCACAATGTGACGATTGTGAAGACTTCGCAGGACGAAATCCACAAGATCTGGGATGATTCTTCTAGAATTCTAAGCTGGTTCCCAACAGCAGCAGACCAAGGATAGGTTAGATTGCCGCTATCGGGACGGATTTAGCCTTTTGGTGAATTGATGGTACTTAGTAATATGTAAAAATCAGTTATAATTTCATGGCTAGCTTGAGCCAGTTTATTCCTGGCTATTTGGAACCAGTTAATTTCCAGTTAGCCAGTCAATTCCTGGCTAGCCAGTCAGTGCTAAACAGATTATTTCGGCTAACACACCGAGGTCAGTAACGAGGAAATCAGACCACTTTTATTCAACTTTTTTTAATGTTGGTGGGGTGGCTAGACAAAATAAGAATATTATGAATGTTGGTGGGGTGGCTAGACAAAATAAGAATATTAATCATGAGAGCTTGGAAATTCTTGCGTTAAAAAAAAAAAGAACAAAATTGTCCAGTATTTTACTCATAACACGTATAGTTAAAAAGTTGTGTTGTTGTAAAACACAGTACGTTTCAGTATTAGAAAGCATTTAGTTGTTCTTCCTTCTTCTTTTAAGGATCAGTCCCAAATGCTACATAACTAAATAGTTGTCTTTTTTTAATGTAAAAAAAAATAATAATAATAATTTCTTGAGCATTTTATTGACTTTGTCATTTTTCTTGTTAACAATATATTCTAAAAAGTATAGCTTCTGATAAAAAAGACTAACAAAATCTTTGTTACGGCTTAAATTTTTAATTTTTTTTAAAGCATTTAAGAATCATCTACAGTTGACGTCTAGCCGGAGTACTGTCCCTGGAAGAGGATCAGGCCGGTTTGCTTGTCCCGCAGGAAGTAGAGGAAGGGGTGGTCAGCCACGAAGGATTCCGCGGGCGGCAACTGCACGGACGTGGCGACGATGTCGATGACAGTGGCCGCGGCGGCCACGGTGCCGGTCTCTTTGATGTCAATCACGGCGTTGTGAATGACGTGGCTGAGGTACACCTGGGCTGCACAAGGTATAAAACATAGTTAGGACACCAACCTCCTGTATCTGTCGGCGCGCTACTTCTCGACTTCGTTTGAATGAAACGAAATTGTTACACAATGCACCGATCGAAGGGTGGTGGAGGAGGAATACTAGAGACGTGGTGGATAGTTTTATATAGTAATGTAAACATACCATGCATGCACCGACAACCTTATATATATACAAAGATTGAATACACTGACAAATTTACATAACACCAGCTTGGATCCGTGGACAGCGTTGTAGAAACAACTGTTGGATACATTCCCAACGTATTTACAAGACTGGATACATTGACAGCGTTATATATACATGTCTGGATATATTGAAAAAAATTCTATATACAAAAGCTGGTTACAAAGAGAGCTTTGTATTTACAAAAAAAATCATCACACTGGAAGCGCTTCACTGGTGTCCACCTCAAACAAACCATCACACTGGAAGCGCTTCACTGGTGTCCACCTCAAACAAACCATCACACTGGAAGCGCTTCACTGGTGTCCACCTCAAACTCTCGAGTAACGGAAGATACCCCCCCACCCCCCCCGTCTTTTTTTTCAACCTTGGTCAATTCTGTTGGTCATGTTATTTGTATTTTATTCGAGAGTTCTCTATGAATTTTAAGAATTTGTCAAATGACAGATGTTTGTAGACTTCTTTTTAAAAAAATGATACAAATAATGAACCCATTAAAAATTCGTTATTAGCTTAATAATAATTCTTCAGTTGTTTTCCCATGCAACCCTAATTTTCATATTAGCGATTGCTGAATCAATGAATTTTAGCAGGCCTATATTTATTATTATAAATTTTAACTTCTTAAAATTTAACTTATGGTAAAGGGCTTGTCATATGTGTGGTCACATAAATATCTGGCCAAAATATGGCCTTTTGATCTGATGAATTGGAGATCAGTCCCAAACACAACACAGACAGGAGACATTATTTTGTAAAAAAAATTCCTCGTTTAATCCCCCTCAACCCCCTCCCCGCCAACGAAAATAAATAGTTTTAAAAATCTATTTACCTGGAGAATTCAAAAACAGACGGGGGGGGGGGGGGGGGGGGGGNNNAAAAATAGAGGGGGGGGGGGGGGAGGGGGGGAAGGGGGGGATATTTTTACATGTTATATAGACCCAGGTTGGATACATTGTCAAAGTTACATATGGTCACAAGCAATATGGGGGCGATGTTTTGAATGTACCCCTTGACAGATGCCTCGCTCACCCGACTGCGTGATGCCGGTGAAGTCTGCCGCCATGGGGCTGAAAGCCTTCACAATCCCCATGTCCTTGAGGTTCGAGCTCACCATCATGGACGACGACAGCCTTACGACAGGGATGGCCAGACTAAGTCGGACTGGACTCAAGCCGGCGAAAAGGTCGTCCACCTTGCCCGCTGTGGCCAGCAGCTTTTCTGAAAGTTTATGCTCAGTATTTAAGAGTCCTAAAGACCAAATGTCATTTAGTTGCATCTATAGATATATTTAAGATTTTGTTGTTGTTGTTGTTGATATCCCTCCAATAAATGTGTTTCAAAAAATGGAAAGAAAAAAAAATTATATTATTGTATTTCTTTTAGAATTTATTATGTGTTTATAATTTATCATATGTTTATAATTTATCATATGTTTATTATTATTATATATTTAGAATTTAGCATATGTTATAATTTATCATATGTTTATAATGTATCATATGTTTATAATTTATCATATGTTTATAATTTATCATATGCTTATAATGTATCATATGTTTATAATTATTATATATTTAGAATTTAGCATATGTTATAATTTATAATATGTTTATAATGTATCATATGTTTATAATGTATCATATGTTTATAATTTATCATATGTTTATAGTTTATCATATGTTTATAATTTATCATATGTTTATAGTTTATCATATGTTTATAATTTATCATATGTTTATAATTTATCATATGTTTATAGTTTATCATATGTTAATAATTTATCATATGTTTAAAATTTATAAATATGGTGTGGTTAGAAATTTAGGACATGCATAATAATGTGAGAAACAAAGAAAGGGAAAATTTGAAGAAGAAAAAAGGATTAAACCCCCCCCCCCCAAAAAAAAAAAAAAAAAAAAAAAAAAAGTGAAAAAAAAAAAAAAGGAAAAATTGAAAAAAAAAAAAGGATTAAACCCCCCCCCCCCAAAAAAAAAAAAAAAGACAACAAACAATTTGATTTCTTTATGTCCCGCTTAATAATCATGTTTAAAAAAGTCAACAATTATTTTAACGGTCACCAAATTTACCTGGGATTCGTAACTCCAACGTGGCACTTGATCAACGTGTCATATGGTTTAAAAAAAAGTTATGAGATATTCCTAACTCAAACGTGACACATTGTCTAAGGATTTATGGGTGGTTCTTATCCAACTCCAGCGTAACACATGCTCAGAGTTGTGACCTTGTGACCTTTTAATGTGCATATGCTCATAATCCCACCACAAACCCTCCCCCTTTCCATTTTTTTAAATGATTACCAATACCACCCCCTCCCCCTTCCGAAACGCAATGTAGACAGTTTTCTACGGTTGGTATCTACCAGTATTGCATCGAAAATGGTATTTTTGTCCCCCCTCCCCCCTCTCTCACGTTAGGAGAAGTCGCAAGCTGATTGCGCTCACCTAATTCTGAGATGCCGTCCACTTTCTGGGGCAGAGCGATGTACAGACTGAACCTGCCGCCTTTGAAGGGGAGCTCAGCCACGTCGACGCCGTTCACGTTGTCTCTCTTTACATTGATGGTTCGGTCGTCGTGCATCATTAGGAGCTGTTCAACATTAAATTATGTGATGAAAAAAAAAATACTGTCTCAAACCAATCCAAGCCAAGTTTAAATTAGTTGCCCGTTTTTGGGGAAAAAAACGGTTGTAGTTGTAAATTTGATGTGACCAGGATGAATTCTAAGGTAATGATCTCTTCAATGGTTCATCTCAATGTTATGTTAAAATATCTGGTTTATTATTAAGGCAGTAACATAAGTTAGCTGTGTAATTTATGACACATTCAATCTTTTACATGCAGATCCAGCCATTACAGAAGAAATGGTGCTCAAGGACAGAAATATTTTCCCTCTGATTTGTATGTAAATAAGAAGCATCAACTTTTCCTGGAACAAAACACCAAACTGCTATTGAAGATGATGCACACTCTGAATCAGACACTTCATTATGTTCTATTGTGTCGTTGTTCTAAAGTCAAATCAAATGATTTGTGAATTGAACATTATCGTGTTTACTTTTGTTTAGAATTCAGATTTATAAAAACAAATCATGCAAACTTATAGCGTACTCTAAACATTGCACTATTACAAGCGACTTCCCAGCATTTATTACACTGTTCTGTTAAAATATATCAATAAAAAACATTAAATATACACGATCGTATAACGTATATGATACAAATAAATTTTATTTTAATATGTAAGTGGTTTATAATCTATAAACAACTTGAATTATTTGCTACTGGGAAAATGTTATGCTATCAAAATGGATATACAACATTCTTTCGCTAAATTACAGCTGGATACACAGCATTTTGAAACGAAAAACGAAATTCAACCAAGTAAAATAAATACATTTTCATTAACCTACATTTCAATTTTCATTATAATCTAACGTATATTTTGAATATATACCTAAATAAACATTTATTTTTCCGAAAATTTGAGCCATCATTGTGTAGCAGAAAAAGTCGATTATCTCAAAACGACAAAAAAATGGAGATACAGCATTTTTGAAAATCGACACACTCCCACAACTAAACCAACATGTACTCCCACAACTAGACCAACACACACTCAACAACTAGACCAACACACATTCACCAACTAGACCGAGTACTCCTTATGTAGAAAACCTACACTTCCCATCAGACCAAAATACACTTCCGCAACTAGCTATAACAACATACATACCTGCCCCCTCCCCATTTTACCATATATGTACTTACTAGTTCAACAGCCCCTCCGGCATTTTACCATATTTATGTACTTACCAATTCAACAGCCCCATCCGCTTTGTGAAAGTCCTGACTGAAGCTCTCATAAGCCGGGAATTTGCGCTCCCAGGTTCCGTTGAAGAAAATTGTGTTGACCAAGAGCAGCACCGTATTGCGGTCAATAGTTCCTGTCAAATATACGACCATTCTTAGGGTTGGTTTGTTATTGTAAAACAAAAAAATCAAGCCAAACACGTCAGATCCAAAAATATCAACATCCCCTTTCAAAGTAGTGAACTGATTCTTTTTAATTTTATAGTTAGTAAGAACGTGTACTTCTAGGGTTTTAACAATAATTTAACTCTGTTTACATTGGTATAGCTATCTAATTCTCCTTGGTATATCTATCTATTTCTCCTTGGTATAGCTATCTAATTCTCCTTGGTATATCTATCTATTTCTCCTTGGTATAGCTATCTATTTCTCCTTGGTACAGCTATTAACTTCTCCTTGGTATAGCTATCTATTTCTCCATGGTCGAACATAAGTTTTCCTTGTTCTCTCTACTTTCCTTGGAATAACTATCTATTTTCCTTTGGTTTTTGCCTGTGGGTACAGTATTTTTTATCATATTTTTACCTGTGGGTACAGTATTTTTTATCATATTTTTACCTGTGGGTACAGTATTTTTTATCATATTTTTACCTGTGGGTACAGTATTTTTTATCATATTTTTACCTGTGGGTACAGTATTTTTTATCATATTTTTACCTGTGGGTACAGTATTTTTTATCATATTTTTACCTGTGGGTACAGTATTTTTGATTGTATTTTTCGTCTTGGCCGCAATGAAATCGTTGATGGGTTGCTCCGGTCCACCAGGTGCAGAGAGGTCAAAATTTGATGCCACCGCAGAATAGTAGTTGGTGACGTCATTAACGAACTGAGGCAGAATGTTGTAGTTGGGGTTGACGTAGATGGCGTTGACCGTGTTGAGTTCGACATCTGTGGCAGTGTTTAACTGTTGGACCGACAGAGTCAGTGGTCAGTCGAAATAACATTTTTAGCAAACATAGACAGATCTCAGTGATCAATTCAAAAAGATCCATTAGGACCTAGACAGAGACTAGTCTCAGTGATTAAATAAGATAAGATCTATGGACTTAGACATTGACAAGTCACTCTCGTAAACGTGGTCAAAACATTGTCCGAGATGTCGATATGGATAAAATATGAACAGTGATCATCGTCCAGTCAACGTTTTCGATGATTTCATTATGAGATTTACCTGTCAGATGATTTCATTATGAGATTTACCTGTCAGATGATTTTATTATGAGACTACCATGTCGGATGATTTCGTAATGAGATTTTCTTGTAGGGTGATTTCATTATGAGCTATACTTGTCGGATGATTTCATTACGAGATTTACCTGGCGGATTATTTTATGATGACAAATTACCTGTTGGATAAGCTCCTTGTAAGCGAGATGCGTTGACGCTCCCAATGACGTCACACCCAACGCCTGCGAGATCTCAGTGGCCGTGTCGCCCCGAGCACCCAGTGACGTCATGGACAGAGCTGAATGGACACTGGAGACAGAGAGTGCGGTTAGTGTTGAGATTTTTAAAGAAAACATGTGTGCTTTATTATTACTGATCTCGTCCATATCTATATAGATATTTACATAGATAACACGCATTTATATATAGTTTTTTTTTAGATGACTCAATAGGAAACACATCTCATCTTTAGACCCTCTCATGTAATAAACATGTCATTGTATACAATTTAATATGATGTGAAGAAATCTTGACAGCATTCCAAATTAAATAAATAAATATATATATATATATATATATATATGTGTGTGTGTGTGTGTGTGTATGTGTGTGTGTATGTTTAGACTATGTGGATTATTGTTTAAGCGTCATCTTTAGATCATTCTACATAATATGCGTAAAAAATTCAAACCATCTCTCATATACATTTAGCTTCTGGTACGTCCTGCTTCCTTTTCAAAACCAGCCCCCCCCCCTCACCGCCAACCCCCACATGTTTTATATTAATAGTACTGAGTGCGTCTGAACTCTGGTCAATGGGTTGACTTTTTATTTTATTTAGGGGAGGTGACTATTCTTTGGTGTGGTTATTGTTCTTGTTTGTCTGTCACGCAACGAGCCCCCATGCGTGTCGTCTGAAATCCGGTAAAAAATTTTGAATTTTTTTCTTTAGAAATAATTTTTTTTCTCAAAATACCCGGACCCGGATAAAAAAAACAACAACTGCACCCGGTTAGACCGGTGGGTCCAAGCGTTACAAAAAAAAAAAAGATTTAACTTCTCCATTTCTGTAGTATGCAAAGAAATCTATTGCTCTATGTCGTAGTGACAGGGCATTGCCTTCGTCAACCGTTGGTGGCCTTAATAGTTTCATCTGTCCGTTCTTATCTTAACATAGCCAAGTCTTTATATAGTTTTTAATGTTTCAAAAAAAAAATTATGGTCTAAATATATTTTTCTATACGAGATAAATCTAATTAAAAATATAATAAAATATATATGATGCGATTCTCATAATAGGCAATATTATCTGAAATAGCTAACTCCAATATGTATATATATATATATTTTTTTAAATTAATAAACTGAAAGTCTCAGCAATAATTAATGTCATATAACTATTTTTTTTTCCATCGCGGTCTATTGAAATTGTTTAATCTAAAGACAAGACCTGTAAGGCGAGAAGACGGAGCTCTTCGTAGTGGAAAACGTCTGCTGGTAAAACTTTTGGGAGAAGGCTGACACGGCAGAAGACAAAGCCTGCTGTTGTTGTAGATCGCCGCTGACCAAACGACTGACCACAGCCAGACACGTGACAGCGATGGAAAACATATTGCAGGTCCTGTAGGAAAAAAAAAACACACACAAACGCAAATATTTTTTTCTTTAAATCTTGAAATTCACTTTAATAAAAAAAAAAAAAAAAGATACGGAAAGCGTTCTGACTGTCATTGAGAGCACCCTTAATTTTGGGGTTCACAAGTTGAGAACCGTTCTGACTGTCCTTGAGAGCAACCTTAATTTTGGGGTTCACAAGTTGAGAACCGTTCTGACTGTCCTTGAGAGCACCCTTAATTTTGGGGTTTCACAAGTTGAGAACCGTTCTGACTGTCCTTGAGAGCACCCTTAATTTTGGGGTTTCACAAGTTGAGTATTTTCAGTTTAACCGTAGATTTGCGACACCATCAGTTCAGTTGTGCGATGAACATGACACTTTTTAACGTAAATTGAACGAATATTTGTTAAAAACTCGTCACAAAAATGTTCCCTGAACAGCTGGGAAATTTGAAAATCAATCTTCATAAACTACGCGATATAGGGAGGATTTTTTGTTTTGTTGTTTACCAGCGGATACGCTCCAGGAAGGGAGAAAACGGTTCTTCAACTTGTTCAAATGAATGACTTCTTAACGCTGAATAACACTAAGTGAAGTTGATGTCGTTTAGATAGCTCGCACCCATGATTTTTATTGAAATGTTTGGTTAAAAAGGTGCGACCTCTACGCGAGTACAAAAGGCTGCTCAGTAGGAATGACATGTATCATGACTTAGTAATATAATATGATTTAAGATCAGTTGGGTTACGGGGGGTCGTGTGGTGTAAACTGGGTCAACCCCAACCCCAAGCTTGTGGTCTGGAGTTCAAAGAACCAGTCAAGCAAAGACATCACCAGCAAAGCGTGAGGGTGCAACCTGTTAACCCTTGGTTGGCAACTCATCCAGGAGAAGGAAACTCTCAATACAAAAAAACAGCGGAGAAAGACTCCCGTAGGCGGACACATTCATACAATGAAACATTCCAACAACTCCTGTTGCGCTGCAGGTGCCAAGCTGTGCCATCCGCATATGATGTTAACTTGGGTTATCCAGGTGCATGGATAGGTGCCTAGGGAACAGCTTATCCACCTAAAGAAAACATCACAGTACTTGTGTGATTTCATCCTGCGAAGACGGATGCCATGAAAAAAAAGACATCATTTGAAACTCCATATCTTAAGTAATGTTCACATGAAGATATGGGTTTAGCTAGACACAATTACACAGTTTCTTTTCAACAGAAAATACAATCAACATCTTACTTAGAAATTTGATTTGAAGTTATGACACGAAATTGGTTTAGAGATTTTAGTTTTATCTACACAACTTGATAGCCCCTCGAGATAAGAGAGTTTAGTGTTAGGAGACGGTCGCCCAAAAGACCTTGCGCATTCTGCACCATCAAATACAGATAAGAAATAGACCTGGGGGCCAGACAGCTGGATCAATTGTTTTTATACAGATGACTGTAGAAAAATATAATGTCAAAAAAGGGGAACACGTCAGAGGGTAGGTTCTATCGATGCCGTCTACAGAAATAGCTCAACATTTTTAATTGTGGGCCGGTGATATGAGTTTTGCAATAGATGGTTGGTTCATGATCATTCGTTTGGTAATATATGACTTGTTGATATTCATTTGTAAGGAAATTTGAGATATTTAAAATCTGTTTGAAAAAAAACAAAAACAAAAACAAACTCTCATGTGTCTGAATAGGATCATATTGAACAAGAGTTATCAAAAGAGAGTGTTGCCATCCCTGCGGCTGCAGGGGGTCCTTGGATATTTAAAAAGGCAACCAGACGAATTTAAACTATACAGTTTGAATGAGGGGGGCCCTTAAACATCACGCGATGTCCCTGTGCGGAAATTCAGAGTCATTTTTTTTTACCCGTTGAAATCTTATCTGCTGCAGCTACTAAGCAACCATTTACAGCTGCAGTAACCACCAATGGGACCTGTATGGAACAGTAAATGCTGTTATAATTAGCTCTCTAACTCTTGCTTGGACTTCATTATTACTCTCATTTTCACCATCCTTTTCCCCTTGAAAAATATAAGCTGAAATTCTTGAAATACATATTTTTTGCAACATCTTGCCTACAATATATCTATTGTTAACAGTGACGTAAATAGGGTTCGTGCCGCCCGGAGCTGGAAAAAAAAAGTTGTGCCGCCTATAAACGAAAAACCTCTGCAGCACATCATGTTATTTTATGTATGTTATGTTATTTTACGTATTTTATGTTATTTCATATACATCATGTCATTTTTATTTACATCATGTTATTTTATTATATTGTTATTTTATGTACATTATGTTGTTTTATGACATTATGTTATCGATGTACATTAGGGGCTTAAATTGTTTTATTTATGTGCATTACGTTATTTTACTACATTATGTTAATTTATGTACATAATTCAAATCTTTTCTACTCTTCCGGACTATGAGTCTGCGAGTTTCAAGAAGTTAAAAACAGACAACAAAAGGAATATGAGAAATCCCATTTTTTCTATTTTCTATTCAAAAATCGTGTAAAATCCTTTACCCTAAAGTTAACACGGATATTTACGGACAAGCAAGTATTCTAAAGTTATCACGGATATTTACGGACAAGTAAGTATTCTAAAGTTATCACGGATATTTACGGACAAGTAAGTATTCTACAGTTATCACGGATATTTACGGACAAGCAAGTATTCTAAAGTTATCACGGATATTTACGGACAAGTAAGTATTCTAAAGTTATCACGGATATTTACGGACAAGTAAGTATTCTAAAGTTATCACGGATATTTACGGACAAGTAAGTTTCCTGAGTTATCACCGATATTTACGGACAAGTAAGTGTCCTAAATTTGTCTCGGATATTTACGGACAAGTAAGTATCCTAAAGTTATTACGAATATTTATGGACAAGTAATTTTAAGTCAAATTTTTTAAGGACTGTCCATAAATTTAAGGATGGTCTGCAGCCATGCGCCCCCTTCCCCCAATTTGAGCAACATTCCCCCTACACCACCCCCACCCCCCGCCCATGGACCCTTTCACAGCAACTGTTAAAAAAAAATGAAAGTTCAAAAGCCTCATGTGTGTGTGTGCCGGGGAACAATGAATTATTGACGGCCTGTTACAATCACGCTGCCTAGCCTCTGCCACTTAATGCTAACACAAAATATCAAACAGTGGCCTGAATAATTTATTCTTTGAAACACGGGGGTCGGGGGTGTTACAACCACACAGCATACGCTGATGGATGCGTCTAAATGGTATATAGTGACGGTAGCATATACATGGTATTCTATGGTGGTTGCACATAAATGTTTTTTTTTCTTTTTTTGCTGCAGATAAATGGTATACTATTTGGTTTGCATAGACACAGTATATTATTGTGGCTGCATATAAATGGTTTACTTTTCGGGTTGCGTTTAAAGAGTTTTCAGTGCGAATGTATGTTGATATGATATCATTTTTTTGTAAGCATTTAAGTGGTATAGCATAGTGGCTTGCATATAAATGGTATGCTTTAGTGTACCTTTAAAAGGAAACCTTCTGCGTGTAGATAGCACACTATGGTAACTGAACATAGAAAAATTATCTTTGGAGGCTACGTAGAAATATCATAAAATAATTGCGGGATCTAAAATGTAAACTAGGGTAAAATGGAAAGAAGTTGAGGGACGGATATATATATATATATAAATAAATAAATAAATATATATATATATATATATATATATATATATATCAAATTATTGTTGGAAGGGGATTCTATGATTTACTGAAATGATACTGATTTAATATTTTAACATGTTTTATTAAATAAAATCCGCATAAAATAAGTTATTTGATTTTTAAAAAAGTCACATCACCACCACCTTATGAAAATGATCAATAAATCTATACTTTCTGCCACTGCGATGCTAAAAGATGATTTCAAAATTCCATTTCTCATTCTTCTTCTAAGATTATATTTTCTCTCAATTCTCAGCATGAAAGTACTAAAAAAATACATATTTGTACTTTTCATTATTACATGAATGTAATTCATTGATTTCCTGGCATTAACCAAGTAGTAACACTATACTATACTTCCTTGTGTTACCAAGTAAATAAGCAAAGTTATACTTTGATTGAATATTAAATAATAAAATTCGGTTATATTTTTCGATGTAAAGCAAGTAATACAACATTGGTAAACCTCAATGCATTCCCAAGGAATAAAACATTGGTATACTTCAATGTATTCCCAAGTAATAAAACATTGGTATACTTCAATGACTTACACGGGAATAAATGCTAAACTTCCATTAAATATGGAGTAAAAAACTTTTGTATTTCAAAGCATTTATCGATCAAATAGTCCGAAATACACCCTGACTGGAGCCCCCCCCCCCACTCCCCCCTTAACGTCTATCAAAATTTTCAACAAATCCAGACACCCACAGTGTAACTCGAGATTTTACCCCAAATTTATCAACATACACTGCCACAATACAATACAACGATGAACTATAAACTGCCACATTATAGGAGGAGTGGCTTCATATTATTACTGAATTTGGTTGAAAGACTATTTCTGCACCGCTATTAGTTTCAGCCGATCGTCAACTGTACAGCTGCTGGACATGTCGAGGTTATCACATCGTCCAACATAAGGTCTTTCCTCCATCTTTACATCATCACAATATGAAAATGACGCACTGATATATTTCCATCAGTCCTTATAACACTGAAATGTCACATTAAGAAATGGCGTCAGCTGGCCGTCGAGCTATTGCTCTTTATGCCCTCCCCACGCGAAGCGGAACGTTGGGGATGTCCCCCTACTAGGACAGCCCCCACCAGAGTCCACTCGATCGGGTTCCGATGTGGGCCGCCCCAGCCCAAAGACACCCGGTCGGTCCGACACTGTGTTTGCACACGGTGCACACAATCGTCTTTCTTAGGCGTCGAGATAGTAAATTTACATCCTAAAATCTTCCCCCACCCATCCCGGGGAGCGTCGAACCCCCTTTAAGAGGGTTCCTATTGTGGATTTCGGCAACGCAACTAATTTACGAAGTAGCTTGGACGAAACGGTTGCCTTGGAGCAGCTTCTCAGGGCTACATCGTAAGACTCATCGGCTAAAGAATACCACCTTCGCCTCCAGCCTGATATCCAATAACGGCAACTTGTGATCAATATCCCTGCCCTGTCTCTGCCTTTAATTCCAAATGTGAATCATCACAGCCGGCAGCCCTGTAAGTGCTGTTTTATTTACGATAGGTACCGAGAGCGTCCCTTGTATAACACTGACATACATGATTCAATTCCATCCACCCATGCAATTGCTCTCTTTGAAATTATATTTACGCATGTCATATCAGAGTCCAAACAAAATTCAGCCCCCACCCCCCCCAAACCGGATCCAAACGTAATATTGTAAAATGGTTGCACTAATTTATTAAAATTCGCTGGCTTGCGAGATAACAATTAACCAAAGTTTGATCGCAATCGGGTGGTTGGTATCGGAACGCATACGGAAAGTTACTTACATACGTACATAAGTTTATTTATAACTATATTAATAAATTACATCTCAGTGATATCCTCACCCGGTGACTCTGGCCACATTGACAGACTCTGGCCACATTGACAGACTCTGGTCACACCCTGGTTTGGATGAATATCAAAACATGCGACCTTTTCAATAATGTATTGTCCCTAAGACCTTTAAAAAAAAAAAACGCCCTTTAAAAAAAAAAAAAACGCTCTTCAGCTTGATTATCTTCGGCTTTGCCTCTACACCGGGACTGACTACTTGGCGCACAGCTGGAAACAAAATTGTGGTTTCATTTGTTCGCCCATCAAATTTGTTTAAGGTTTCCGCACCATGATTCTGCTGCTCGCCTGGATTGCTATGTCTTGTTTCCGTAAGTATTGTCAGATTAAACGCAAAGACCGCGCCTGTAGCTCTTAAAAATAGATAATAATTTAAGAAATGCATTCAAGCTAAGTGAATGAGATAGAAAAAACAAATTATCTCGAAGCTTGATTCAAAAGAGAGGACAATAAGTTGTGGACGTTTTGACTTAGAGCTTCTTCAGCGAACAAGACAAATAGACAAGAAAAAGAGCAGATTTAAAAAAAAATTTGAGAGATCTCCTGTGTTGTTGCCGGAATGATAGATAGATAGATAGATAGATAGATAGATAGATAGATAGATAGATAGATAGATAGATAGATAGATAGATAGATAGATAGATAGATAGATAGATAGATAGATAGATAGATAGATAGATAGAT